TAATACTTAGACAAGAAATACATTTTCAGAAAGCTTCATTTTCTGAATATAATTTGTATTGATGCAAATGTCATTGACGTTACCTGATGACTTGACCAATTACACAGTTCCTACAGATGTACACCATGCATCAAACATGACAATAGGTTGTTTTGATTAAAGTACGTGCACGGCTCGAAATCGTGTATTTAATCTTTCGTTATAAGAATTGTAAAGTGCGTCTGTCAACAAAAGCGGAAACATGCAATTTATCGGAGCATTTGCGAAATTATAATACGGGTATAAGTGCAATGAATTTTACTCGAAGTTTTGTTATTGTTAAATTAATATCAACTGTAGTACGCAGTCTCTATGAGCGGGGGGGGGGGGTATCGGCTGGTATCTAGTGTAAGAAATAGACAAGGGATGAAGGCTCCAGCCAGCTCACAATTTTTAACTCGAAAAAACAGACGAAAAGAATGAAAAATAAAATCTAAAAAAAAATACCAGCTTGAAGAATATTAGTTGCTCCTTCAAATTTCGCCAAAGCCTTACCTACATTTTACCGATATCTGCAGAATAAATCAAGAAAACTACACAAATTGACCCCATTTAGGAATTCATAACGATTTGCCCGAACGCACGGCACAGTTGGAGGCGTGGCCTGTTCTGAATTTATCAACAACTAATCACAAGACTGGTTACAAACCACTGACAGTTCACAACACGGTTAACCTCGCTCAATAACAATAGTTTGAAATTACGTTTGCCTGTCCAAATACATTCTTGGCAGGCTATACTTACGTTACTACATTTATAAAATAGTACACGATAAAAATAATGCAAATATCCTCAAACAACTTATCGGTAGAAGTAAGTAGTTATTCAATTATTTACTTCCGTGGCGACGAGGTTACAGTCACCTAATCAACTTATATCTTTGTAAACAAGGCATGATCTACGGATACCGAAGACACTGAGTAAGTTTATCTATTATTAGACTATCCGAAACGTTGCATAGGACATTATAGTCTTCGTACAGTACAGTACAGTACAGTACAGTATAGTACAGTACAGTACAGTACAGTACAGTACAGTACAGTACAGTACAGTACAACGCAGCACTGTACGCAGGGCTAGGGACATTTTGCCTATTGTGTGACAAAAGAATGAATCTGAAGCAGTCTAATCCTAAACTCTTCTGGAAACTTTTAGAGGAATTGGGCAATCTTGATGACATAAAGTCTGGTAATGATAGCATTACTTCAGATTCATGGCTTGAACATTTCAAGAGTTTAAATAGCCAACTCTGTACAGGTGATGATAATTTGCCAAATTCTATTAATGGCAGTATCAATACAATGGAGAAGTCAAATGAAAATAATCTCAATCTGGATTTTCAGTTTACAAATTGTGAGGTGCTAAAACACATTAGATTACTTAAATCAGATAAAGCATCTGGTAATGATCTTATTTTAAATGAGATGCTTAAAAATGGTGCAACTTATATTGTTAACTCAATTACTAAACTTTTAAATCTAGTGTTCAAATCAGGAAAATTTCCATCATTGTGGAACTGCAGTACCATTACTCCTATTGTTTAAATCTGGTAACCCAGCAGATTGCAACAATTACAGGGGGATAGCCATTTCTAGTTGCCTATCAAAATTGTACACAATGATTATAAACAGTAGACTATCTAACTATTTAAAAGAAATAAGCAGATAAGATAACCAATTTGGTTTTAAGAAAAACCATCGTACCACTGACAATATTTATATCCTAAGGTGTGCAATTACAAAATATGTAAATAAGAAAATTAGAAAGTCTGGTAACTACC